ATAAACTCACTCACTCTACATTCTCTACCATCTCCTACATACCATTTACAAATGAGACTACCTCTCTATTTATAGAAAACTTAAACCTCCTTAACCTTCCACTTTACAACTTGCGCTTGGTTGTCGCCAACTCTTTTTTAGTTGTCTTCAAGTGGATGGTATTACAACTTGCCTTGCAAGTTGTAGCCAACTCGTGCCAACTCATACTTAGCTTGCATACAACTCGCGCCTAGCTTGCACCGTTGATATTTATCCTTACCAACTCGTGCTTAGCTTGCAAGTGGCACACAAGTGGACAAGTTGTGCAAGTTGTCCACTTGCATCCTCAAAATATCAGGCTGCAGGTCCATGCATTTTTCCTCTCAAAATGGCTGGGTCGGGACTTACAAAAACCTCATTAATGCCCTGGAAAATTGCACGATCTAGGCAGCCTGCATTCTGCCCCAAAACAGTCTACTTGCGTCCCCAGCCTGTGTCAACCTACATCCCTTGCCGAATCTGCTTGCGTCCCCTATCGCAAGCTATTCCGTCCTTTTGAAACGTGTGACCCGCGCCATCTTGCGACCGCTATCGGGACGGATCGAATGCGATCGCGTGAGGCATAAGTCACTCCCCCACTGAATTTGGCGACGCACTCACCGCCTTGTATCGCCGAAATTTAGACCTTATTTCCCATAAGTCTATCTCATTTTCCCACCTTGTGCCATGATATTCCCGTGTCATGCCAAGCCTTAAGTCATGACCTTGCGATCCGTGACATATCGCTACAATTAAAATGCTATTTAGTCAAATGCATGCTAATTGAAGACATATATAAGGTCGAGCCAAAACCTCTTCAGAAGACCAATCATTTATTTGGTCATTAAATTCACCACTCTTAGGTGACTATATTGAGCCCTTTAAAATACAACCAGGTTGCCCCTCGGGGCATGGTCCAGTAGTGCAAAAAACAGGAGTGAGATTATTTCACGCTTTGTTAGCAGCGGTAGTGCAGAAGTTCGATTCCTGAAACATGAAATTGTACTCTTTATAGACGAAGTGTGCAGACAGCTCTTGTTTTCTGACCTGCTAGAACACATTCTGCGATTTACCTCTCTCACAAAGCTCTAAGAACGGGACAGTGACGGCCCTCAAGATTGAAGTTCAACCTTTTTTTTTTCAATACCACCAGGTTGGTCCATTTTGCCGCCGAGTACAGCTAACTCTCTCTGCCCTCTTTGTCCTGACATCATTTCGTCCATTCTACAGCATAAAATAGAAAAACTGTTAAAGCATATAAATTAAAAAGGGAATAACATTAAACTGGTGCACATCATTTGACAAGTCAAAAGAAAAAGTGATAGATATATTATGTCAAAATACTAAAAAGTATGAATTCATAGCCTATTTCAGTAATAAGAATTGGTTGGAATCACCACATTAGTCAGTGGACATAATCTTCTATTTATATGTCGCATTTCTTGATCAGAATGATAGCACTTCAAACATTTACAAATTCCATGAGGTTCACCATGGCCTTGCTTGAGAAACCTAAGACAAAAAGAACATATAATTTACAGGGGAATAAAACTTGACATTTAAAATAAATTAATGAAAACAAAAGTGTTGAGCAAACTAAGAAAACCTTTCTGAACAGAAGTAGCCAAATCCATATTGAACTAGCGGGAAATAAAGAAAAATTGGTACAGCCAATGCCAAAAACCGGAGCATAGTCAATAAAACCATAACAAGAAATAGAAAAGAGAGGCGAAATTAAGGAAGAAGTATAAAAGAAGGAAGAAGAAAGGACACGTCTTGTACAATATGAATGGTTGTGTAGGGAATTACGTAAAGAGATAGTGAGGTAGTGTGGAGAAATGGAAGCATACAAAAACTTTGGTTCGAGTTCATCTAACACACCCTTCACCAAATAAGCGAAAAACTTTGAAGCTTGACCGTAAGATTGCAAGATTGCAAAAACGTAAGTAGAACATTAGAAAATAATGTATACATGGACATAACCACAAAGGAGAGAACATCTTCAAACTTTTAAAAGTTTAATTAAAAAAATTTTAAATCCAACAAAAAATTATTTATAATATAAAGAAAAAAGAAAATTTAAAACAATTTTCAAAAAATATAATAAAAACAAAACAAATTAAACAAAAAAAAAGTTATGACAATTAAATAAAGAATATATAAATATTATTTAATTAAAATTGAAAAAATTAAGTTTCATAATTTTAAGTTTTTTTCATCGTGGGAGCAGAAACGAAGTCGTGTTGTCTATAATCATTTCTCAATTTTTCACACGCTACTTTACTTCATCCAATCCAATACTAATAAAGAAAATAAACTATATGATTTAACAAATTAAAGAAAAAAAAATTACAGGGGAAAATAAAAAAAAAAGATTATTATAAAGTTTTTTAATTAAATTGAAATAATTAAAATTAAACATAAATATTATTTTTAATTAAGATTGAAAAAAGTACATTTTAAAAATAATTTAAAATTCTTTTTAAATCGAATTTTTTTTTATAATATGAAGAAAAAAGAAATTTTAAAACAATTTTCAAAAGATACATAATAAAAATAAAGCAAATTAAACAAAAGAAAGTTACAAAAATTAAATAAAGAATATATAAGTATTATTTAATTCAAATTGAAAAAATTAAGTTTTATTAAAGAAAGTAAAGAATTAAAAAAAATTTAAATCGAAAAAAATTATTTATAATATGAACAAAGCAAAATTAAAAAAACAAAAACGAAACCTCCAATCGTGAATGGAGGTTTTTTTGAAACATCCATCCAATTTTGATTGGAGGTTTTTTAGGAAACATCTGGATGGAGGTTCCATCCTTGTGAATGAAAAACCTCCAGAAACATTCATCCGGGATGGAGGTTTTCTCCATTCAGAAACTTCCAGGAGATTTCATCTTTTCCTTCAAATTAAATGCATGATTTAAATCATCCATTTTACAATATCCATCTATAAGACTATTATAAGTAACTATATTTAGCACAACTCTACTCTTTAGCATTTCATGAAACGGATTCTTAGCCTCATAAATTCTCTTTGCTTTATTACTGCAAGCAGTGGTCTACGAAATTTCAATGCCAAGTAATAAAGCAATTTATTCTTTCACCCAAAGTTAAGAGTTTAAATAGAAATGAAAGGTGACATACTTTTCAAATGCATCTACCACATATTGAACAATATCATGAAAAGGTAAAATGACATACCTCCAATCATGGATGGAGGCTTTCTCCAAAACCTCCAATAAAAACCTCTATCCATGATTGGAGGTTTCATTTTTTTTTCTTTTCTTAATTTGTTTGGTTCATGTTATAAATAATTTTTTTGAAGTTAAGAGTTTAAATAGAAATGAAAGGTGACATACTTTTCAAATGCATCTACCACATATTGAACAATATCATGAAAAGGTAAAATGACATACCTCCAATCATGGATGGAGGCTTTCTCCAAAACCTCCAATAAAAACCTCTATCCATGATTGGAGGTTTCATTTTTTTTTCTTTTCTTAATTTGTTTGGTTCATGTTATAAATAATTTTTTTTGATTTAAATTTAGTTTTAATTCTTTTCTCCCCATAATAAAACTTAATTTTTTCAATTTTAATTAAATAATATTTATATATTCTTTATTTAATT